ATTTTAAAGTTTTTTGGTCTAAATTCCTCACTTTTTACTTATTTTCTACTTAGTAACTTTTTCCTCTATCTAAAAATTTCTCACTTATTAATTTTTCTCTTTTGTTCCTCTCTAATTTTGTTTCTTTAATTCTAATTGTTTAAGATATTGGAATGTCTCGCTACACTTGATTCGAGTGATAATTTTGTAGTTAAACTGGTACGYTAATTCTTTCTTATAGTATCGTTTGAAACCACATTGTTGAAGTTATAGTGTAATTTCAAAGCTTTTCTTCAACTGAATTGTTTGTGATGTATTCTTGCAGCCATACTTTTGCAAGATTTTCATCTTAGATGTTGGTATGAATTCATTGGGTATTGAGAAGTAAAAGTTGCTGAAACGAGGTGAAATTTAAATGTTGGGTCTGAGTTTTTATGTTTTTGTGTCTATATTTGAAGGATGGCTCATTTGTAAATTCTAATTACCTATAAAAATGATGATATACTTTACTAACGGGACTGATAATTCGCTTTTATTTTTATTTTATTGTTATTGAAACAAGAAATAAACATTTACAATTTAATAGTTACCATTAAACTCTAGAATTGGACTAAATAAAGCATGAGGCTAAACCTTAAAGAACCTTGAATACCGTATAAAAGCCCCCTGATTTATGTTAATAACGAAGCTATGTTTGGTACCACTACAGGCAGGTCAGGATGAATTGAAAGCTCTCGAGAAGGCACTAAAGGATAGAAGACCATGATTCCTGCTGGAACTGCAAGAGAGGTGGAAATTAAGCTTTGGTATTCGCTTCTGTTTTATTTTTATTTTTTTTATTTTTTTTCCTTTTCCGTAATGTTTGGGGGCAGTTGTGAACATTTTTTTTACTTTTATTTAATTATAAAAGTTGTATGCCTCTCAAGACTGATTTTGGAAGGGAGGTACCTTTGTTTGAGGTAGAAGGAACAACAGTTGAAGAATTTATATTCCTGTATATTTGACACAGATAATCAGGGGTACTCTGCTGCTGAGATGGATAGACTTATCCCAATTACCATATTTATGGTCAAATTTGATAAGGTAGTTTTTCTTACTACTATCATCCTTTGTTGATTCAGTTTTATTTATTTTCTTCCTACCATCTCTTACTTTTTCACTCTACTTTTTTAACCAGTCAGAATGGACCCTAGAAATAAGGAAGTCGATCTTTGGGAAATTTGTTCAGCTAAATGAGGAAGATTACCTATCAACTACATTATCGATATGATGGAGGTGGAGCAACTCAAGTTTGGCTGGGCTCTGGCAGGTATTGTTTTGAAAGTGTCCTGATTTTAAGAACTTTGGCTTGTTTTTAGAAACATTTGGGAAGCCTTGCTATATTCTGTGTGCTATATTCTTTCTGTTCACTTTGTCGGCATTGCACATAGGTTATAAATTGAGCACTTTCTGTTTTGTTATTTTCCCGAATAAGGCAAACTCTATTGATTTATAAATTTGAATCTTTGATTTCATGTTATTCAATTCATTAACGTATTATTATCCAAATTCAAATTTGAATCTTTGATTTCATGTTATTCAAGTCATTAACGTATTATTATCCAAATTTAGGTTCTTTAAATGGTTGAGATTGGTTATTGGCTTACTCGTCAATGGCATGTGGGATAATAACCCCTTGAGATAGCTTATAAGTTGATGGATTTTAACATGTTTTAGGAGTTCTGGAATCATATTGAAATCTGAAAAACCTTCAACTATTGTTCCTTTGTTTTTTCTAAGTAGTATTCGGATACCTAATCTTTATACTATGCTCATGGCTCACCCCACCCACTCAAGACCAATTATGGGAGACAAAAAGGTCTTAAATTATTAAATTTTTCATTTAGGGGTTGAACTCAGAATCTTCGGGGATATTTCCAAACATCTCAAACCCTACCCACCAAAGACCAATCCTTGGATTCTGCCTTCGGAATGTAGTTAGATTTTTTCTTTTTTTTCCCCTATGGGCGGACGAAAGATTGAAAAGGAGTATACGTTCTCTCAGAAAAAGTTTCTTAGTTAAATCAAACATAGGAGTTCCCCATAAAATTTCAGATTGAAAAGGAGTATACGTTCTCTCAGAAAAAGTTTCTTAGTTAAATCAAACATAGGAGTTCCCCATAAAATGTCAGATTGAAAAGGAGTATACGTTCTCTCAGAAAAAGTTTCTTAGTTAAATCAAACATAGGAGTTCCCCATAAAATTTCAACCCATCAATCTAAAGGCTTTATAATGGCTTTATAATTAAAATAAAATGATTATGCGATGAGAGATTTAGAACAATGCTGAGTTCGGACTAAAGGGGATATATGTTTTCATGACAAGTTACAACACAAATTCACAGCATGTATGAGAAACCAAGAAAGTGTTTTATCTTAGATAAGAAAGATGAAAAGCTGTGATTTAGCAATCAAATAGTGTGTAAGGAAAGTGGATATTGCTCTGTTTTGTTCTGTTATGTGCTGCAGCTTCGTTCAAGAAGATGGTGGTCTACCTTTTTCAAGATTAACAAAGAAAGTTTTTTTTAATAAATAACAATAATAATAAATTAATTGGAAAAATTCTGTGTGCCTTCTTCCGTGGTTCTCTTGAGGTCTGTGAAAACTTTTAAAATATAGATTCTCTTCACAACCAACAATTAATCTTTTTTTTTTCTGGCTTGCTTTCTTTCTTTCTYAGTTTCTTGTATATCACTGGATTTTATTAGTTTCTGTTACTACCCAGAAACTAATATTCATTTATACAGTTTAATAATTGCAGTTTTTCACTTATTTGAAATGTCCATCTGTATTTTTGTACAAAAGCTCTTTAGTCTAGCTACTATATTTTTTGTACCACTACAGGCAGGTCAGGCTGAATTGATAGCTCTTGAGAAGGTACTGGAGGGATGCAATTTCTGTTTATATGCATCTGTTTATCTGCAATTAGGGCATATTTGGATGGCGCTATCCTAAGTGAAGTAAGTGCTTTCTTTTCCTCAAAACAGAACTTGATCACATTTTGTGGTTTTCTGGTATTCATATTGGTCAGAGAATTCCAGTTGACCGTGTGCTTTTCATGGACTAATTAAATGCCTTCCATGTACCTTTTTTATTTTTTTATTTTTTATGGTTTTCAAAATTTTATCTCTCATCATATCCTTTTCTATTTTTAATTTTTTTTTCAATTTATAAAAAATTCACTCAAATATTTGCATACTTTTTTTATTATTTATTCTCTAGTTTTTTCTCTCTACCTTTAAGACTACTTTCTCTCACTTTTTAACTTTTTATGAGTAAATATTTTTTTTCTCAAACTTTTTTCTCTTGAACTACTTTTTTCGTTTTTATGAGAAAAACGTCATTTTCTTACCTCTTACTTGATGTGTGAGTTGATTTTTTCCTTAAATTTATTTCATCAAATTAAGACTTAAACTTGAAGAATTATATAACATGAACCAAAAAAACACCCAAAATTGAACTAAAGGGTAAAAGAATGTGTCCAATGTGTCCAAATTTGTGTGAGTAGAAAAGAATGTTGGATGAAATTAAAGGGTTAAGCTTAAATTAAATTGATTCAATGTGTCGAAATATATATAAGGGTAAAAGAATGAGTATTTCCCAATTATATTTTTATTTCTAAAATTTTTCCACTTAACTTTTTTCTCTCTCTAAATTTTTTATGCCCTTCTCTCTTTCTCTAACTCTTTTTTCTTCCTAAAACTTTTTGGTTTTAAACTCTTTTTTCTCTCTCAGTATCTCTCAAATTCTCTTTTCTATCTCTAAAGTTTATAACTCATTTTCTTAATTTTGTTTTATTTATCTCTAATTTTTTTTAACCTCTCATCATTTCACTTTCTTTCATCTGTCTAAACTTTTTCATAGTTTTTAACTTTTCCTTCTTTATCTTTAAATTTTTGTCTCTCTTTCTGTTGGCGGTAAAATATTCCCCTTAAACTTTTTTTTTCATGCAAAACTTTTTTCTTAATTTTTAATTTTTAATTTTCTTTTTTGTTTTTTCTTATCTCTAAAATTTTCATCATTTTTAAAAGTTTTTTCCGTCTAAGTTACTCACTTTTTAAATTATTTTCTGCTTTTCTAACTTTTTCTTCTCTAAAATTTGCTCTCTAATTTTTTTTTTTCATTCTATCTTTTTTTATCTCTTAAATTTAATCTTTCAACTTCTAACGAATTTAATCTTTCAACTTCTAGATGAGGAAGATTCATGTCAAGGTTATTCATTACTAATCAACCGTTTATGTAATTATTACCAGCTTTAGCACACTATTAATTCATTTCAATCAATTGAAAATAATTTAATTAGTCAAACTTTATGTGGAAAATGTTCTCCGAAGCATCCAACAGAAGTTATCTTTTGGTGGTAACTCGCACGATCCATGAACAACTAACACTCTCTCTCTTCTATTTCGAATGTGAAAAAAATTCAACCAAAAAGAGCCCCGAAAGTTTATGTACTAATTACATTTATCAAATTATTTGAGCAGGAAATTAGATCTTCATTCTGGCACTTGGTTGGGTGAGGGTGATGATTGAGTTGATGATGGCTGATGCGGTTCCATTAACCTTCACCCGGCAGGTAACCGTTTTATTTTCCCCAAAATTTATATTTTTAACTTTTTTTTTTCTATATAAAATTTCTACCCTATTTGTGTATTTTTTTCTATCTCTAAATCTTTATTTAAATTTTATATATATTTTTTTCTATTTAAAATCTTTCCACATTTTGAGGTTTTCCACTCTGTTTATGAATTTTCTCTGAAAAATTTGCACTTTTTTTTAACTCTCTCTACATATTTTGCCTTTTACGTTTAAAATAGTGTGTGTCCTCTTGTAATTTTTTATTCCCCCTGTATTCTCTTCTCTTTATAATTTATTTCACTTTTAACCATTGCTTCTCTTCCCCTCTAATTTCATCTTTTCTCTAACTCTTTTTCGTTAAAATATTTCTCTTCCTCCTAACTTTTTTCTATCTATAATTTATCTTAGTTTCTAAAATTTTCTCTATGAAACGATTATCTTGGGAAGTGGTGTGATGCTAACTCAAGTATCAAAGTTACTTTTGGGCCCTTCCCTCCTGAGAAAAGAAGTTTTATACTCTCTATTCTTACTGCATTTATGTATTTCAAACTTATCTTGCAGTTGGGAATTCTGCACTTGCTATGATAATGACAATGATATAAAAAATGCAAGAATATTCTGGTGACTTGAAAGTATATCCTTAGCTTTTCTTTTCTTCAAATACCGATTAAAGAATGTTTTAAACTTTAAAGGGTGACCATTGTCAACTACATTATAAAGCGGTGTTGTACTAACTTAGGTATCGAAGTTACTTTTTCCTTTTTCCTAGAGCAAATTAGAGTTTTACTCTGTTCTTACTACATTTATGCTTTCAAACTTAACTTGCAGGTAGGAATTCTGCATTTGCTCTCCGCCTCTCACAATGAACAGTGAGATAAGAAATGGTGTTAGGACCATTGGTGGTGAGTTGAAACTATCTCCTTAGCTTTTTCTCTTCAAATGTTGACTAAGGATCGTATAAACTTAGAAGGTTCATCTTGAAAGAGTCGTACGGATTTTTTAAATATAATTTCGATGATATTTCTCTTTCTTGATTGCATGTCAACAAAATGAGATTTCTACATTCCACCATTAAATTTATCATTAGTTTTGTTTTGTCTTATCGGCCGTGAAATTGATAAGTTTGAGATGTTAACTTGTGTTACAGATAGAATGTGGTGGAAGAGTAATCGAACTGTACGGTGCTTTATGTTCAAGGGAGTGGTTATTTTGTTTCGGGCCTGTTGTAGTTTGAGGACTTCTTGCAAATATTCAGGAGTCAATTAGCCAAATATGGATAAGTATGCAACTCTTTGCTGTATTCCCTTAGGTATCGAAGTTACTTTTTCCCCTTTCCTAGAGCAAATTAACTCCTAGATATTTGCACTTTTAAGAAGTCCTCAAACTATAACAGGCTCCAAACAAAATAACCACTCCCCTGAACATAAAATACCGGTACAGTTCGATTACTCTTCCACCACATTCTATCTGTAACACAACTTAACATCTCAAACTTATCAGTTTCACGGCCGATAAAACAAAACGAAACTAATGATAAATTTGATGGTGGAATGTAGAAATCTCATTTTGTTGACACGAAATCAAGAAAGAGAAATATCATCGAAATTAGATTTAGAAAATCCGTACGAGTATTTCAAGATGAACCTTCATAAGATCCTTTAGTCAACATTTAAAGAGAAAAGGCTAAGTAGATACTTTCAACTCACCACCAATGGTCCTAACATTTCTTATCTCACTGTTCATTGTGAGAGGTTGAGAGCAAGTGTAGAATTCCTACCTGCAATTTAAGTTTGAAAACATAAATTCAATAAGAACAGGGAGTAAAACTCTAATTTTCTCTAGGAAAGGGGAAAAAGTAACTTCAATACCTAAGAGTTGCATACTGATCAATATTTTTGGTGTAGATACTTTAAAGAGAAAAGGCTAAGTAGATACTTTCAACTCACCACCAATGGTCCTAACATTTCTTATCTCACTGTTCATTGTGAGAGGTTGAGAGCAAGTGTAGAATTCCTACCTGCAATTTAAGTTTGAAAACATAAATTCAATAAGAACAGGGAGTAAAACTCTAATTTCCTCTAGGAAAGGGGAAAAAGTAACTTCAATACCTAAGAGTTGCATACTGATCAATATTTTTGGTGTAGCCTAAAGCTCTCCAAGAATCCATAATGGAAATTTGATTATATTTGATGTACCAATACAAAGCCCAAAAGCCTCTATTTATAGAAGAATTAACAACTAACTAATTATTAGAAAAACTAAAACAATTAAACCAAAAATATAAAACTAACTCACTACATCAGTTTCCCTCCCTCTTAAGAAAACTCGTCCTCGAGTTTAAAAAGAATACAATAGAGGCAGGGTTGTTGTTCCAATGCTTCTTCTTTCAATGGTTTGAAAAAACTTGAACCGAAAATGTTGTCTTGAGTTCGTCAAAACACGTGTACACTCAATGAGGGATTCTTTCAAAATATAAATTTGCATATAGCTCCTGCACCATGGTTAACAACTCATTCAAATGAAGAAGAAATCCTATAGCTTCCTCTCTGGACAAATTCTGGGTGGGTTTATTGAGAATAAAAACTTCCTTGCTATTGTCGACCATTTCTTTTCTTCCAATCAAACATTCCATTTTTATTTCCATATACAAATTTCTTTCTTTTGGCTTTGCATATTGATTATACCCTGAAATCTCCCTTGTTTTCATCCCATCGAACCCACTGTCGTCATTCGAAGAATTTAAAGGTTGGTATGGTTGTCCAACAGCATTTGAATCTTGACATGTAACATTGACAAATTCAATGGGGTAAAACTTATTCAAATCGTGAAAAATTAATTTGGCTGGATGAGTTTGTTCCTTATCTTTTGCCTTCTGAATTTCTTGTCCTATCTGTAAGCTTTCTTGAAAAATTAAAGAACTGTGCTCATTAACATCTGGCATTTCAGCTTCAAAGAACATCGTAGCCAAAGAAAAAGGAGAATCATCCTCTGATCTTATCAATTCATTATCAACATCATCTTCCTCATCAAAATAATTTTCAAATTTAAGAAAAAACTCCTCTTCTTGTTCAATTGCTTCAATCTGACAAGGGTTCTGGATTCCATAATTTCTCAAATCAACATACAAGGTATCAATTTGAAGCAAATTTGAGTTACCTCTTGCATCCTCTGAAATTTCCGTTGGTCTTATGCAATCTTTTGAAGTGTCTTTACTCTCTTGGTGGCAAAATCTTCCCATCTTGGTTAAGGTATCGATTGGGTGTTTTTCTCCAATTGTTGTTGTTGGGAGTTTTGTACAAGAAGAAAGAAAAATTCCACATCTATTGTTTGGAGTTTCAATGGATCCCAAGAGTTCTGAAGGTTTTCGAACAAATTTTCTGGCACAAAATACCTCTGCCTTGCGTGAAATTGATTTGGTGAAATTTGTACAGACTCCAAGATTGTTGCTTGAACTTTCTTGTTGCTGAAACTTTGCATAATATTGGTTCTTGATTAAAGATTGACCTTCATAATTAATTCCAAACTCATATTCTGACTCGTTTGAATCCTCACCAACTGATGGGTAATGTCGTTGATTTTGACTGAGATTCCAAACTTTGCATAATTAATTCCAAACTCATAGTAGCAAGATTTTGACTGAGATTGATGATTCTTCCTCGAACCTGACGGTATCTCTTTCTTGTACCCACCGACTCTTGTACAAATCCGTGAAATTGTGAATTATAATTGGAAAATCGAGATCGAAATCGGGCTGAAGAAATATACTCAATATCTTCCTCAGAGTCGCTTGAATCAATATCCCAATCATTTCCATTGTATTCCATTTCTTCCTCACTTGAATCATAATCCCAATCTTGGTTTTCCTTGTGCTGTTGGAATCTTTGTCTTTCTCGTGCATCATATCTCCAATTGCGCATGTTTCTTGGGTCGTATTTCTTCGTTCTTGAAAATCTTGTACTGGGATCTTGTTTGTAAAAATCTCGTTCTTGGTCATAAAAGTACTGTTTTCTTCTTACTTCTTGAAAAGAGGGTACTCTAAAAGGTATCCTCTTGTATTTGGTGTGAGCTGTTGAATAACGAGCACAACATCACGAAGCCCCTCTTGCGATCTACGTCAACAAGAGTTTCCCGGCCCCTACCAGCGGCTGCCATTGTTGGCCCAGGCGATTACTCTGATACCAATTTGGTGTAGCCTAAAGCTCTCCAAGAATCCATAATGGAAATTTGATTAATATTGATGTACCAATACAAAGCCCAAAAGCCTCTATTTATAGAAGAATTGACAACTAACTAATTATTAGAAAAACTAAAACAATTAAACCAAAAATATAAAACTAACTCACTACATCAGGATGTTTATTTTTTTATTTTTTTGTTGGTAAATATGTTCCTCCCTCGCATTTCCCCTCCTTCATTTCCTCTCTCCTCTATCTCCCTCCCTCCCTTCCCAATTCCAATACCAATTATTGGACTGGAGTATTGTGTTTCAATGTTTTTTAATTGAACATTTGTTATTGATTGTATTTGGTTAGGAATTTATTTACTGTTTTCTTCGTTATATGAGATTTGTATTTTTAGTTTTCTCCAATTATTGTTCTCTATTCCTCCCTTCATCACTCATCTCCCTCCTTCCATCCCTATTATCGGTATATTGGAGTATTGTGTTTCAATGTTATTTGGTTTGGAGGATTTGTTTGGTTAGAATTGTTTCTCCAGAATTGTTTCTCCCTGCTTGTATTTTTAGTTTTAGATGATATTTAAATGATTATTTTCCTCCATTTATTATTTTAATACCTATCTCCTGGTGCATGATAGCATTATTCAACAGCCATCAAAAGGGATTACAAACCTATATTTTATAGGACAAGGGTCTCGGCAACTAAAAACTAGCCATTATAAAAGGCTAGCCCGAGCTCTTCTCTATTTGGTCAAGGTGTCTTCTAGCTTCGTGTTTCTGTTTTATAAAATAGCAACCGGGCTATTCTCTATTTGGTCAAGGTGTCTTCTAGCTTCGTGTTTCTGTTTTATAAAATAGCAACCGGGCTATTCTATATTTGGTCAAGGTATCTTCTAGCTTCGTGTTTCTGTTTCTTCTTTATAATTGATTGTTTTTGTTATTTTTCATAAGTTGCGATGGGGAGTTTCAGAACTTTTATGCTTGTACTTTCTCTCTTCACCTTCTTCATTTCATCTCTCCTCCATCTCCCTCTCTATTTCTCCCTCCCTCTCTCCTCTATCCTCTCTCTCTTTTCTCCTTCCCACTCCCCCACTCTTTCCACTTCTCTTCCTCCTCTACAAAAHTTTTATGCATGCACTTAGTCTTTACACAGTTTACTTACTTCGATGAGAAATACATAAATACTTTTCTCCATTTATTGTTCTAGTATATATCCATTGATGTTGCTGTTGACTATATCTACGATTATTATTTATAGAGTAGAGTTGGCTTTGATATAGTCAATAACTAGGATCTTTTAGCTTTGTTACTGACTGTTTTTGTTATTCTTCAAAAATTGCAAGGGGCATTGTAGTATTATGATAGTGTTTTTTTTTTTTTTTAAGTTTGTTGACTTTTGAATGTTATTTTGTTTTGTTGCAAATATGTTCC